CATACATGCTGTCACAAATGGTAAGATTTAATATTTTTATGGCTGAGTAATATTCCATATATGTATATGGTACATATATACCACAGGTTTTTTTTAATCCACGAGGGCAGAATCTGAATCCAGAATAAGAGGGCAAAGTCAGGTGTGCACACAGAGAGCTTGGTCCTTAGCCTGAGTCCACAGATGTCCATATTGTCTCGTGTGGTTTCAGGGGTCCCATGAACCCGCAGAAATCAAAATCAAAAGTTTGCATATATGGTCCTTTTTTAAGGGTGAGGATCAGTAGCTTTTATGAGACTCTCAAAGGTGAGGCAGAGGGGATCTAGGCCCTGAGATGGTTAAGGAGGTTGACATTCTTTCCACAGTTATTTGGGGAAGAGGGGGGGTCCTATCCTGGAATCTCTGTGATGCTGGTTTCTGTCATGATTTGGAGACCATCATGTAACCCAGAGAACCCCTTTAGGTCGAGGCCAGTTGTCAGTGGCCCCCCCGAGAGGCTGCACATGGCTCGGGTGCAGGCCGCGGCGGGCTCTGCCCCGCACTCCGGCGGACCCGTGGGTCTCAGTGGCAGATGTCCGAGGGAGGGGTCAGGCAGAGAGGAGATAAGAGCTTGGGGACCGCCTAGGGCAGGAGCTGAGCCCCCAACCCCGGGAGTCACCCCTGTTGTGATTTCCTGGTTCTCATCACTGGCACCCAAAGCACTGACTGGATTCTGACAGTGGCTCCCCATGAGACAACACGAGTGAGGAACAGGGAATGATGAGGAATGAGGGTAACAAGAAAAGGCTGGTCTTCTGTCGTGGCCCAAAGTGGGTGGGTCACAGTGGGAACCGTGGATTCCCCCGCTCCATCTCGTCTGTGTAAAAGCCAGTGTCTCAGCGTGTACAGATGGGGATTTGATTTTCACATTTTACCTGTAAGCCCGATTCCCACCCAGGCCTTTCAAAACCAATAACCGAAGGCAGATAACAAAGCTGTGGGCGCCGGTGTTGTGGTTCTGGTTGATACTTGAGAATTACACGCAGACATTTTTATATTCAGGGCACGGTACAGACAGATTGGGCATTTAAGGCAACTTAGTGGATTGAAGAGCGCTGAGGGAATTGTGGGAATTGCCTGCGAGAACAAATCATTATTCCTTGGCAGGCGGGCGAAGGAGAGGGAATTGAAGAGCTGTAGATTACCGGGAGGAAGAAGTCAGGGAAATCAGGTGGCAGCTCTGGGGGCCATTGTACAGATGAAGGAAAT